GATTGCACCTTTAGTGTACGAACAATTACAAAAATCCTACTAGCCAGTGTTATTCTATGTCAGTTTTTCACATAAGGTATAAATTAGTTTAAGAAATTTCGTAAGTAATAACTATATATTTCTATAGCTCATTGGATTTGTAGTCTCTCTCATAACCAGGCAAAAGCTCAGTGTTCCAAACACTAATTGCAACAGTACCAATATATGGATATCTGCATTTGAGCTCCTTTGTAATATATGTGCAATGGGAATTTTACCATTTGTTTTAGCAGATGTGGAACCAATCTGACAGAACCACCTTAGTAATCTGTTATAACATTTTCTATTTTTCATAGCTGTTTATTTATCCTAGTTTCATGCTTATGAAATTGGCCAAAACCCTGGAGTGCTACAGAAAAAAATAACAGCAAATTTGTGATAGCAGAGTTACCTATGGTATGGAATGGGCTTCCACAGGAGGTGGTTTAAGCCCCATCAGTGAGGGTGTTCAGGATAGGCTTGACATGCACATGGTAGGCATGTGGTGAGCGGAGCCAGCTGGAGCCGAGGGTCAGACTAGATAGCCCAGGAGACCCCTTCTGACTCGCTCTGTTTCTATGTTTCTAACTTCATGTAAAATTTAGTCTGGCAGAGGCTCAGCATAAAGTCAGGGCATATTATTTTTCATTTACAGGTGTCCAGATTCTTCCATCTGTAAATTTCTGTCCTTTAAAGATGCAGCGTCTCACACCGGTACAGGAGTTGGGGGCAAGGGACATGCAAGCTGATTATAGGGGATGGAGACCTATAATTTAATGAGAAGCCTACATGTCCAATACACTAACTTTTGCTAAACATATACATGAACATACAGACAATGGAAAGCAATATTTTTGCATTTGGTGAAAGCCACTGAAGCAAACTTAGAAACTATCATATATTTTAAAGACTGTATACTTGTATCAAATTTTCCAGGTTTAAAAAGAAAGATATTGTCTAATTGTGTTGGAAATGCATTACTGGATTATAAATATGAAATAAGTATTAAAGAATTATAGTACACTGCAGACCATTTTTGCAAGAGGTTTTTTTTTAAAGAAGGATGCATGAACACAGGAGAAAATGTATTGCTGTGTTATTATTTTAATCTTGTACTGAGTTCAAGATATGTTTAACCTAAAAGTTATATTAGATTGTAAACATTTAGGACACCTTCTTATATCACTTCTTGCTAATCAAATCCTTACAGTTGTAATCCTATATACACTTACCTATGAGTATGTTGCATTGAATTCAGTGGAGCTTACTTCTAAACATTATCTAGGGTTGCACTGTTAGACACTTGTGGGGAAGCAGTCAGAAAATGGCATGGACCCATGTCTCTGCAGTGCTCAGATGGACTTGTGTGAATCTTGACTTAGCCCACTTTTCACATGGGCCTGTCTAACATGAGGGTCATTCACACAATATAAAAACACACAGTTTCAATTATTTTTCTCTAGATATTATTAAGATGGTGAGATGAAGAAGTGAGAAAGTGGCCTGCAATTTCCTTTGCTACAGATTCCTAGGAGAAAAAAATGGATTGAGAATGTGGTCCGCATTCCATTCTGAGTAAGAAGTTTTGAAAAAGAAACAGAGAAGCTGAGGGCAAAAAGGCTGGTCTAAAATTGGGCAAGAGAGGATGGGGCAAGAACATTTTCCCACTCCGTTCTTGTGGCATCTCCATAGGTGTATGAGTTTTTAGTCCTACACAATGAACTCATGCCCAATAAGTGTAATCATAACAGTGGTGTACTCAGCCAGAATGTCAAATAAACCTTGTTCTGAAACTGCATTTTGTCACCACATGTGTTACTGTAATTTTTCTCTGAATTGGAGGCTGCCGACAGAAAGACATGAGGATGATTATTCCAAGGAAACAAGAGTGGATTATAACTACATTTTAAAACCACCAGAACCTTTTAAAATGAAAGATAGAAAGCAAGCTAGGCAAGGGGGAAAAAATAAATTCTCAACCCACACCACAGTTCCTCCTTTCACAGCCTTCTAAACGCGTAACAGGATGAAAACAAAAACAGTGTTAGCAGGCTGGCACAAAAGGAAGCAAACTGCCAAGCCGGGGCTATTTCCTCACGCCTCACATCCATGTTGAGCATGTTTCCAAACAAGAAAAAAAAATGATGCAAGCACCCGACCCCCGAGTCACACAGCAGGCAAAGATTTTAAGAGAGTGGTGTGAGGAAAGGCAGAAATAGAGGAGAACAGAAATAACACTGACACACACAGAGCAAGCAACACGCACGTACCAAGCCTTGCAACCTGCTATTCAAAATTCCCCCACACACGCCTGCACTGAACGAGGATGCGCAACCTTGGGGAGCCACACCAGCGCTACGAGGGGGCAGTGGGGAAGCGCTGGCGAGGGAGGCCAGAGAGGCGACCGCCGCACCTCCCACCCCACTAGCCCTCCGGAGAAGTTTGCATGTTCGCGGGTTACCTGTTCAGCACCGGTGGCCTCTGCTTCTTCGTGCCCCGCTCCCTCGTGGTCTCCTCCTCCCTCCTCCTCGCCTTCTTTCTCCACCTTTTCTTCTCCCCCCTTGTCTTCCTCAGCTGCCCCTTCTCGGTGCTCAGCATCTTCCGGCCAGCAGCTTGCCGCAGGGAGCGGTTCCTCCTGCTGCTGCTCGTCCTCAGCTGGGTCGCCTTCGCCTTCGCCCTCGCCGCCCCCCGCCTCCTCCGGCAGCGGCCCTTCTTCTCCGCCGGGGTCCTGGAGTTCGGGCTCCGAGTCCGTCTCCCAGGTGGAGTCACAATCTTCCACCGTTGTGGGCTCCTTGAGGCTGACCCCGCTCAGCAAACTGCCCATTGGGGAGGCAGCGCGGGAGCCTCCCCCACCGCCCGGGCGGAGGGAGGGAAGGAGGGAGGGACGACTGCTTGGCTGGTTGCTCGGCCGGCCGGGGAGCGGGCTGCCAACGCTGCCTCCTTCAGCGCCGCTGCTGGGGCATGGTGGTGGCGTCGGCGCTGGGAGGCCACAGGCAATGAGAAAGCTGAAGACGACGACGAGGCGGCGGCGGCGGCGGAGGAGGAGGAGGCAGGCGCAGACGGCAGGAGCGACAGCAGTCGATGCTCTGCTGCGCCTCCTCACAGTCCCCAACCCACAAACACGCATGTGGGGGGGGGGGAGAGGAGGAGCCGAATGCTTTGGGATTTCCACAGGAAACACTTAAACCCAATCCCTCCTTCAGCAATCGAGGTAAGAATGAGGAAGCTGGGCAGCGCGCTTCGCTATGAGCCGCTTCTGCACAACAGGCAGGGGCGCTTGGCACACATAGAAGTTTCCACACACAACGCACGTGTTAGTCCTTTCGGTGTCTCCCCCCTCACCCGCACGCATGCAGGCTTGTAGGCCTGTGCAAAGCCAAGGAGACGGAAACGGTGTTGCAGTAATATTCAGGGCACCCCTCCCTTCCTCCCGGCTTCCCTCCATTCTGGCACAGAGGCGGCCCGTGCCTTGAACACCTGCTGCTCCCTCGGGGGGCGGGCGGGGGGAGGACAAAAGAAGCCTTCAGTCCCTCTAACTCAGTCTGGTTTCCAAACAGGCTGGCAGCAGAGTTTCTGGCAGGAGTCTTTTCCAGCCCTAGTTGGATATGAAAACCCGAGACTGCAGGCGGGATAGAACGACAGCAATGGTTCAGGGGTATGTTACTTTTTCCCCTTCCCTCACAGGACTCCTCTGATTCTTGTATCAACATGATCGGTGGAAAATCAACAGGTGCACATCTATACACGCTGAGAACAGCGTTGCCTGTTTCATTTCTCCCTAGCATGCAGTTGTTAAAAGCATACCAAAAAAGCAGCAGACTTAGTTATACAAATTATTTAACTGCAATCACGGTACAAAATATCAGTTCTATTACACAGAGATTTATTACAAACATGCTGAGGTGTTTTTAATTATTCAGAAAACATGAACATCAGTACAACATTGAAACAGAATGATACATTCTCTTAACCCATAGTACCTCAGCAAAGTTACAGCAACTGATACTAGTTCCAGAAGGAATTTGCCTCCAGAAAATGTTGAAATGTTTTTTTCATGTGAGTTTATATGATGCTGCCAATAGATTTTGTTCTTGTTTCTCTTGCTTATGAAAGAAAGGAAGGCTTGCCATACAATGAAAAAGCAGCTTGACTTTGCCTTTTAATGAGCCTTAAATAATACGAGATTTCTCAGGACTTTTGCATCATTTACAAACTCTGCCCATGACTTGAGAATATACTCAGGTCGTTATGCAATAGGTTTGCATTTGCCCCATCTAATATCTTGAGCAAAGACTCTTTAGTGTACTTTAACACTTGCTGTTTTGTGGAGATTTCACTAAATAGCCTTTCCCTGAAGACAAAAGGCTTTGGATACCAAATCGGTATGTGCAAAATAGGACAGCATGAGTTCAGCATGTGTATGAGACATGTATGCCCTATTTTATGCTAAGTCCCCATTGACTGATTGTTCTGATCTGTTTTTACATGTTGATGGGCATATCTCTTATCAGGCACTTCTCCCAACACTTTCCCCAACACAGCATTGACCTTTCAGTGGTTTGAAACTGTTCTACTAATAATCAGCACACAAGGGACCAGCTTTGGGGGCTCCTGAGTTGCTTTAACTATGAGTTCAAAGTGGGTTAATTTTCTGGTTGACTGTTCTCTAGCTGATACATATGAATTATATTAGACAAATAATGGGGCTGCATCCAGTCCACTGCTACTGATCACAATTGTCCTGTGATTTGGATTTCCAAGAACACCTTCTTCTCAGAGTTGACCCGACCATTTGACAGTGAAGTGGCCACCCCAGATAGCAGATCTTGGAAGTCAAGAAAGGACAGTGATTGTTAATTATTTAATTTGTTATTATATTTTAATATATATTATATAGGGATGGAGAGAGGAACTTGGAGCTATTCTGCTTCATGTGACAAAATAACTTTTTATGCCTTAAGCACCTTGACTTGAGTGTATGCAGAGGTGGGTGCCATTTGCTGCTCCACTCTAGGCAGCAAAATACCTTGGACCAGTCCTGCCTATTCTGCAAAACACAACTTGCCTTCAACAACGAGGGATGATCTATTAAGGGCAGTAGCAATGTTGCAGATGGCCTCAGCTTTTTTTTTTGATACTTTCCATTTTTCTTTATTCAGAGTCTGACAAAAATGGACACTTTGCCAAACCATTGTAGATAAATAGCTGGCTCCATTAATGTCTGTGGGTGACCTGTTACTTCTTGAATTGAAACCATAATTTGGCAAATTTGAAAGCATCATAATACTTTCATAAATTAGAAGCTCCAAATATAAAAAGTTGAGAATCATCAGGATTGCGGCTAGTGATTGTGTTCAGTCTTTTCATCAATGACCTGGAAGAGGGAGTGAGCAGACTGCTGATCAGTTTCACAGATGATACTAATATGGGGGCAGTGGCCATGACAGAGGAGCAGGTACTCTGGATCCAGAAGGATTTGGACAGACTGTGGAAGTGGGCTGGGGACAACAGGATGGTGTTCATTGTGGATAAGTGCAAGGTCTTGCACTTGGGGCATAGGAATGGGTGTCATAAGTAAGGCTTCTAGATCAAGAAAGATATTACTGCTACTCTGTATGACTCTTGTGTTCAGCTCTGGGCTCCACATTACAGGAAGGATATAGCCAGGTTGGGATCTGTTCATAGGGCCACAAGGATGGTGGTCAGATTGCAGGGAAAGCCATATGAGACAAGATTGAGGAACTGAGTATTTTCAGCCTGTTGGTGACATATAGGTACCTGGGGGGGGGGGGTGCCATGCGGAGGTGAGTAGAGACCTGTTTTCCCTTGCAGAGGAGGGCAGGACACATTCCAGTGGAGCAAAGCTCAGGGATCTATTTAGACGCCAGGAAGTACTTCCTGACAGTTAGGACCCCAAAGGTATGGAATGAGCTAACATGGGGGATGATTAAAACTCCATTGGTGAGGGTGTTCAAGGATAGACTGGACATGCACATGGTAGCATGTCATGAGTTGAGTTGGCTGGAGCCTGGGGTCAGACTAGTTGACCCAGGAGGCCCCTTCTGATTCAGACTGTTTCTATGTTTCTGTTTTGTTCTCTTATCCTTATCTATTATCCTTACCCTTTGCTGCCTAGTACTTTTTGCAAACTTAATAAAATTTTATCTTGTAAAACAATTGGTAATGCTTGAAATAAGAATTAAAGTTTTATAAGGGATGTTTCATAGACTTAGCATTTAAGGAGAAGCCAGATGTTCTGATACATTGTGTTCTTGGGGCTACTTTGCTGTATAATAAGTCCAACTGGGCATGATTGAGATTTAGTCCTGCATTCCCCTTACTCTGATAGTACTCTTATAATATCTGGGAGGGCTATAATTAATTTCAAAGCAAAATCATCTGTTAACAAATTAATGAGATGATGTTGTTGAGCCACTGCAAGGTCCTTCATGTTGGAGTTAACTTGCAATGCAATCTCTTGAATCTCTTGGGAAAAAGCAAAGAACAGAGGGGAGAGCTTACCTCTGTGTAAGGTGACTGGGAAGGCATCATGTTACCTATAGCTCTGACTGTAGCATTAAATGCTTGGTATGGCACTGATTCAATAGTTTTTCTCCCACTTGCAGCTTTTTAATGGTGTCATCAAGAAGGGCCATTCCAAGTGATCAAATGCCTTGCAAGCATCCATCATTAAAATTGCAAGGGGCTATTGGGAGCTCTTTTTTAAGTGAATTACATTAAGCAGACATTTAATTGGATTGGCCAGTTGTCCACAAGACAAAAATCCAGCCTGATCTGAGGTGATGTAGGATGTTTACAGTTATTAAACCTATTTCCCAAAGTGGTAGTAAATAGTTTTAAACTTTGGTCCAATGGTCCTATAGGTATGCCTATACCAGTCTCAGGTCTTTCCCTAGTTTCAGTATAGAGATTGTTTCATCTGTTAATATGCCATTGAAGAAATTGAATAGGAGAGGTATTTTTTGTAGAAGTCTCCATAGGAACTATGTTGTCCTGATTCTTCTTATTTTTTAATTTGGTTATTGTCAGCTGATTTTTCTAACACCAAATGTCTTGGTGTAGCCATCTTTGGGTTTACATGAACAACTGAAATGCCTAGCATATACATTTTTACATAGATTTTTAATTAAAAACAGGTTACATGTACAAATTCTTTAAAAATACAGCATCACACACAGATTTTAAGAATGTAAATATTCAGTATACATTTTGGTATAAAACAGTCATGCATATTTAAAATGGTATAATATTCTAAAGAATTTAAATTCTAATATATGACATTTTAAAACAATTTCAGAAATGGCAAATCTATATAAAATATATACACTAGATACTCTATTGGTGGCCATTTTGCTTGCTTGCTTGGATTACTCTACTCGTATCACATTGCCTACATATCAGTATCTTTGGGTTTATGTTCCTCATCTCTAACCTTAACTAATTCTCTTTAGCTGAAACCAGCACTATACTACTGTATACAACTGTTGGTTTATATTATTGATACGGAGTTTAAGAGAATTTGGCAAAAGTTTGGATAATATTTCTACTTGAATAGGCCAGATTCCTTCTCTCCCATGCAGGTTTCCCTTATGACTGCTTTCACTGTGTCCCATGTGACCCTACAGCCATCTCTCCTAGAGCATTTGTTTTAAAGTAAAATTATATGCATGTTTAGATGGGGAAAAAACCTCCAGCATTCTCCAGCCGGAATGAGGAATGCTGGAAGTTATATGACTTTTATCTGTCTACACTTGCATACCATTTCACTGTAATTCTCTCTTAATGCTATCCTATCGGTTCTGT